GGCCTGTTGGCGGCCCAGATCCACACAGACGTAGTGCCTCATCTTCAAAAAACAATAACAACAATTTGGAAGCGAATATTGGACAATCGAACTCAGACATAAACAGAAATTCGGCCAAGTTGGCCTTAGTACTTATAAAGCACCACGCTATGAAGGCGTATGGGGGCGTGAAGATAAAGTCCCATCCTTTCTTGACATCAGAAGATGAGTTGTCAACTTCACGACGCGTCCTCATTACCCCAGGTGTAAAGAATTCCCGGTACCTTTTGAGTAGCAGGCTGGATGGGCCCCAGAGTCGATCTGGACGGTGTGGCCAAGAGACAAATATATTGCCTGGAATCAAACCCCAGTTTTCCAGCCTGTAGCCAATCACAATAAGCAACTGACCAAGCTACGTGGTTCTTAAACAGACTATCGAAGAAGAATAAATGAGATTTGTGAGTGGATTGAAGGTAGTAACTTATTAAGACAGGCGGCAAAGCGAGGATAACCAATTCTGGGTTTTAGTGGCATGTAGTTCGATAAAATTTTTAAGCGTTTCAGAGGTAACTGTTGTCTACATCATTAGGACGATGGAGGTATCAAGTATCTTTAATCCAAAAGACAGGCATCTTCATACTTGTAGCCGTGATAACCCCAAATCCTACATAGGGGAGAATCCGGTGATAGTTTTGCTTGAAATGGGCCCATAATTCACGTGCAGGTGTTAGAGCCTCGATGATGAAGACGTGCACATGTGTGCCGTCTGCATTAGGCCTAAGTAGATTTCAAGTGTGTAGAGTTTCGACATTTTACATTGTGTACTAAATCATTTTTATTCCCTACGACATAATTATTATATAATATGTTTCTTCTTACAACTTTTCAAACATATAAATCTTACTCCGTTTTGCCCCGGGTACGGGGCAAAATGGGGAAAGTTACATCCTTTTAAAGAAATTAATTTTTAAGAAACTGTAACTCTTAGATCTCAACTAATAACTCATTCTAAAACTCAAATAGACAATAAATCCACACAAGGTTACTCCATGTGTTTATCTTTATTATTGTCCCTTCCACGTGCCTCCAAAAATTAAGTTCCCCGTTCTGCTGTGGTCTCCCCTATATGAATAATTCAAGACATTAGATTTTGGCAATGTATTACAATTTCGTGATTCCTGTGAGAGAGTATTATAAATCAGTAAAATATTTAAGTTTTCACTGTGAATCTACGCGGAATTGGAAAGGCATGAATCAGTATGTGCACGGCTCGTGACAGTCCGATGACGTGGGTATAGGTTGATAGCTGAGGTTTGACAAATGAAAATAGCAGAGGAATAATTAAAACGATGGACTGTACCAACTATGAGGAAGATGGAAATGCTGGACTTGAAATAAAACAGTAAAACTGGTAAGTCAGACGCTGTTTATATCGAAATGGTAAAGGACAGATAAGATCCATCAAACTGTTCAGTTTCACTAGACAACAATAAAAGACATAATAGTAGAAACTGAACCTGTTCAACGACAAACGATATTTTTCTTATAACTTGTATACGAGGATATTTCCATACGGAGAATATTCTCTGAAACTGTCTGGTGTACTCTACGAAATCAGATGTCGCACTTTGCTTCTTCTGCAGAGTGTACGTCTCAATTACACCACGTAAATTAGTACCGGAAGTCTGTTACCGGAAGCATCCAGGCGCGATGTAAATTAAACCTGCAGATCGCTGCAATCTGAGTTTCTTATTCCTTATCGGTATAAAATGTTACGACCACTGCATGGTTGATTTAATGGGAAATATTTTGTTTGTTTAGAAAATGACGGGTTTATCCAAGCAACCAACCACAGATGGCAAAACTTCGAAAGGAAACAACTACAAAACTTATAAGGTACATACTGTGATAAATCAGAAAACAAGGTGTAACGTTGCAACCAAATTTGCCCAAAAATTAAGAGGACACTATGAAACTGACGTAACTTTTAGTAGACGTCAATATTTATTCCTAACAGTTTACTGAAGTAAGGAACTCCAAATTCTAAAGTAACCCGAAGACAATGACGGTAATTTCCAATCTTTGTTAGATTATCCCAAAAAAGGTTTTATTGAACAGTGATAAAATGGACCTAAACATGCCTCATATCGTTCAATAAAAGTCTAACGGTGGTCTAGCGGTTAGGACGCTGGCCTTGTAATCCTGGGGTCTCGGGTTCGCATTTATAACTTGTGTTGGGCAAGGCCGTGGCCTAGGCAACACGGAGTTTTCCTCATTGGCATCCCAACAATTACTCCATTCACACCCAGAAGAAGGCAATGGCAAACCACTTCTGGATCATCTGCCAAGAACGTATATGAACAGGTCCCAGTCCGAGAAAAGGATGGAAGGATCCTGTTCATATGGACCTGTCGTCAGACAGAACACTGAATAAATAAAATGAAAAAAAAAATGAAAAAATGAAAAGGCAACTTGTAACGCAATAAATATGAATAAATTTACAGTCGTGGTGAATGCTGCAGAATTTTGGTACGCTTCCAATGGAAAACCAGATATATTTTCTTTTTAAAAGTGTATTATTATAATTAGGTATCTATCGGTTTACAAAGCCGAAACAACGACGAATTCCCACAACTTGAACTTGTATACCTATACTTGTATTCATAGGAATATCAAAAGCTACATCTCTTAAGGCATTATAACAGTCATCATTACAATGGCTTCAGGGATATGACTTTAAATAGCATTCCTCTCAGTACAAGTAGAGAGTGACAAGCCTAATGGTTTACAACTGTGTATCAAGCACAATCAACTGCTTGTCGTGTGTGTCCTCTGTGAAATCAGTAGTCTGAATTTAGTTATCCGCGAGGCCTGTTCAAATTACTCCAATCAGAAATATATGGGAATTGTTGTCAATAGATTCATGAAAATTCTTCAATCCCTGATCCTTTATAAAAGAGCAAGTGAGCGATCATTTTCAACATTATCTCACATTAAAATATTTTTAAGGAATTCTGTGTAGAAGATGGCTGAATATGTTTGTGTATGTGTAAATGTAAACACATACAGACACAAGCTTTCCAATAATAAAGAGACAATATATTAAATATCTAGAACAAAGACGCCTAGATTTTAAATTAAATTAAAGGAAATAAAATGTGGAAGGCCACAATGAGTTAGGAATTTGGCTTATTTGTGGCAGGTAAGAAATGCACTTACAATTTTGACAGAGAAATCTCTTAGAGTAATGTCCACTTGAAAGCCCAAGAAGTTGACGGGGAAACATTAATATTAATCATGAAATAGAATGATGAAATTATTTAGGATCGTCCGATGATTGACTTTGGCATTAGCAGTTTTGATTCTTCAGATCATGCTACCACAATGTTAGTTATCCACATTTTTAGTCATACTATTTCTATTACTTTAAAATATTCAAACATGACTAAGCCGATAATATAGTCCTACATTTTCCTTCGAAATGATTTTCTATAAATATGTAAATACGTGTTTTACGTACATAATTGTAATATACATTATTGTTTAGATCAATACGATATATAAATATAAACCGGTCAGCGACATCTTTCTGGAGAAGCATTTATGCCACTTATCCATCCCTTGAACTTCTGTCATATTTGAGGGACTCGGTTAATAACTTCAGGTTATTCCCCTAGTGTCGTCGGTATTTTCAGAAATATGAAGCATAATTT